CACATTGTGTCGCGTCTGGTCCATTCGGACCCCGAGTTCAAGACTATTATATATTTTACAATCTTCGCATTGTTCGATTATTTGGTTAACATAATATTCTTTAACAGTAAAAGAGATCTATAAAATAACAAAGTATAAGCTATTGATAGAATCTACGTTGAACAAAACTTGTAACAAATTCTCTGTATGTCATATTTTAATTAATTTAATAATGAAGGAAATAATGGTTTTTCAATTCATTTTCACAATGTTTGTATCAACAAGGTTCGATCATGGTTATGGATATAATGAAACATTAAATAATATGTAAGTTTTTGATGACTTTTATATATTTTGATATTATTTCTTTACATTTTCGCTGGTTCGTAATGTGTACCCCTATCCATGGCTATATATTTAGCGGAAATATTTTCTTAGGAAAACTGGCATATATTGTATCATAAGTAGTACACGCAGCACTGAACGTGTTAATCATTATTTTGACAACTTTGCATGAAATGAAGTGTCAATTAACAAACGGCCTACCCTTCAAAGAAACGTTAGAGGCACGTCAACATGTACATTAACACAATTTTCGTTCACATAGCGTGTTCCCCTTTTTGTTTCGTTCCCGGTAGTTACCCGGGCTAACGTCGCGTGAAATCGACGCCTTCGTGTAATCATTTTGCACCCTTGTAATGGGACTTAAGTCACTTGTGACGTTTTGCCTTTTACGAAATCGGACGCCACGAAACGCTTCTGCTTTCTTGTTTACACGACTGATTATAACGAAGCTTATTTAGTTTCGTCGAAAAGCATCACCCGTTTCCTATTCAATGTTCTAGTTGTTATAGTTTCACATTGGTTTCATTGATATTATTTCTGGTTATTTCGTATTATACTGGTTCTACAATTTCATATAACAATTTGCACACTTGTGTAGCTGACAATTTAATTTTTTAATATTTTCTTAATGCTTGAACTTTTAAATTATTGTCGCGGAGAATTATAGAACATCTATGAAATTCGAAGTTTCAACGAAATTGTAGCTACTTTTACCACCGCGCCTGTTATTTTTGAGATTCTCGTTGCATAGTAGATCGGGTTAATACTTACACTCTTCCAGTACAAAAAGAGTACCCGTAGTTTAAATTACAAATGTCATACAATTCAAAAGACGTATTTAGCTTTTGAAAAATCGGTACTCGCCAGCTGTTCATTTCGCAATAAATTTTTTAATAGTGCCAGGAACCACTGTTAACAAACTTCCGGTGGCTAAAGCGTTAATTGATAATAATTTTACTCTCGGTCACCTGTTTCCGCAGTTACTAGCAACGAAACAAAAGTTTGTTGTACGTGTCTACGGTGTCCATTTTCTTATTATTAGCTTTAACTGGGACTAGTATATTAATATTCAACACTCGAAACACCCGCTTTTACTAATTGAAATTTTCGAACACCCGCCATGCCCAAAATATCCTTTAATGTAACGTCGCACAGTGGAGTATTCGCCCGATCAGGCCAGCCAAAAGGCCATTTTAAAAATTTTACCTAAACCGACAAATTTTTGCACTTTGAGATAATTGAATATGCGAGGAACAACGTCCTGCAAATTTTTTTATCCTTGGAGCACTCGACAAGTGCTGAGCTATCTGTATATTAATAAATTTATTGTCATATGCCATATAATTGCATATTACTGTATATTATTATATTACATTCTCATATTTTCTTGTAAAAAGTCAATATAAATTTGTCTTTAATTTTGATCGCTCACATCGGGCAAATGCCCCACTGTGCGTCGGCTGTTTTCTACGGGATTCATACGGCCGAAGACTGTTCCGGCCGGAACCGGTTCGTTTTGTTCTCACGCGCCCCGTCTCGCGAGAACGATACGTTTATTCGGTGTTCAGACAAAGGCGCGTGTTTCTCTTCGTAAATCATTCGGTTCTTTTGGGGGGATGTGTAATGGAAGTGCGCCTTTCTCAAGTGATTCACGTGATTCGACTTTTATAGAGGATATCACGCGGGAATTGAAGCCTAACAATTTTATGCACTGCGCAGAAGAGTTAGAAGACCGTTGTGAGCTGTAAATAAATTTTGCCATCTTTACTTTGTTTCTTCTTACGTTCGCAACAGTAACGTACTGTTAGCAGAAAGATTGAATTCTAGTTAAAAATCTCGGGTAACAGGTGGAGGGATGGATAGTAAAGTTCCAAATGTGTTGCAGAAACTGTCGGCGTATTTTTAGTACATTATATTCAGATCCTATAGAATTTAAAGTACCCTGATCATCAATTTTATATGCGAGACTTCAATATTCAACGTTGACTCTTGAATTATTGTTCACGTAAACCGAATTTCCTCGCGATTATTTTTTTTTCGTGATTTCAGGATTGTGAGCATTTTCTGAAGTATGTTAAAATATGCTAGAATGTCTGAGCTATGGCACTGCTGAAGGCTAATCAAATGTCCAAACATTAAGTAGCGTTAAAGTGTCATATAACTCTCCCTATATTGCACGGAAGAATTTCGAAACCAGTGTTTAGTGAAATACTGTTTCCAAGATTTATTAGGTTTATTTTTCTACTGGTTGCCAAGTAACGCTCAGTATATTTAAATTAGATTATACTATTCCCAATACAACTAATAACAAAACTTGTTTACATTACTCCCTATCAACCAACGAAAGAGAACATAATAGAACTTCATCGTGCAAAGGTTTTAATATATTGTTAGTCCCCAATTTTGTACATTGTAGGCATAAGAACATAAGTAAACGCAGAACACGTTAAAGTGTCTAGGAAAGGAAATATCACGAGTTTTCTCCTTGTTAAGGAAAAATTGTCGTTGCAACGAGAGTGGGAGAGGGAGAGAGACAGAAATAGAGGTACCATCGCTCAGAGGCAATTTGAATGATTCATGAGTGCGCACGTCACGCGTTCGCGCAAAAAAAATCGCGTTTTCCATTTACAGCGATAGACCTGAGATTTTCATGTAGAGCTTGTCAATGATTCTCCGTTGCTCGTTGTAAACCTATAACCACGCGGTGAAGGGGAGCGAAGTTTCGCTCGAAGGGATGCCTTCATGATTTATGGAAGATGCGTCGAGTACCTACCGCGTCGGAATTATTGGTTAAGTCCTGATACGTCTTCGTCGCAGTTGTCCTCCTGATTGTAAGACGGGTAGTATCTCGCCATGTCAAATAGTCTGCCCAGTCATTTGTCCGTTTGCGATCTGGTTGATACACCGATCCACCAGTTGCGAACGTTTTAACGCATGCAGTGCAACATTCTTATTGGCTTTTTATTCATTCGGGCCGAGAAGGTATTTAACACGTTTCTTACCATCGAATGGTCTTGATGTTTCTTTTTCTATGTCTAGAGATCGCGGTCATTCTCGTAGTGACCATTCAACGTGTAACGTGTGGGAACTTAACCCTTTGCGCTGGAGAGGTAGTCATTCGATTCGATATAGTCACCTTATAATGTTTGAAGTTCGGTATGCAAATTTCGTATAAAGTATCAACACATGGAGTATTGAAATATAATAATTCTGTTAATGGGATTTCTTTTAATAAATCATCTAATTTAATGCTTGCATAGTAGCAGATACTTACATTGCGAACCCATACAACAGAAGTGGTAAACTGTGTCAGTAAATGCAATATATTGCAAAATGTATTTCGTAGTATAAATGTCTAGCGAAGAAGTCACAAGAAGAATCATCTATTATTACAACATACTATTTTTTATCTGGTGTTCTTAATTGTTTACTTCGAAAAGTAAATTTATTGAATCGAAATGAATCCGTTACTATGTATATCTTTTTCAGTATATTCTTCATTATATAAGCTTCCTTATTCCAAACAATTATTAAATATTTAAGAAAATTACAATCTGTTAACTGAGCTAAGGCAATGTTTCATAGGTGACTTTGATTAGCATCTGATATATCTGTTTACATGAGACATTTATTGTATTTAGATGATTATAAGAGCATCGATCTTCCTTTTCGTTTCACTTCGTATTCTCGTTTTAACGGTACAGGGCACAGGGTTACGAAGAACGTGGAACGTGTGACACAGTGTTACCGATTTATGCGTGACAGCTTCCTCTGACTTAGGCTGCCAGCCCTTTGGGTATTCAAGAATTCCTCTATCTTTAGTGAATCTCTCCTTCAAAATACGATCCCCCTGATCCGTTCGAGCAACAACGTACCAGATAACGTAAGCTTCTCACTGTAAAGCTTAAAAATTTGTGGCCAACGATAAATGGAGTTGACTCTTGAATACATGTTTTACCTGTTAATAAGATTGAATCGCGTATATTTTCTTTTTCGAATATTAAGCAGAATACGCAATTTTAAAGTGAAATACAATATGAATACTAAAAATGAATACTCACCTTGTATTGTTAGTTGGATTATAAAACTGTTCTGTTCATAAGAAAAATTTTCATTGGCGTGCGGAAGTGAAAATGTAATGTATCGTTAGTAAAAACTTGTCTTGCCTGATTCTTAATTTACACACGTTCTATGTGAATTAATGCATTTTAAGCGAGAAACATAGTTCATTAGAATTAGCAATATTTATAAGTGAAAAGAACCAGGAAACACATCTTTCGTATTTTAGAAAGTTGTTGGAATTCTGAACTGGACTTTAAATGCATTAGTTACAGAGAACCAGTTGAAAAACATTGAATAAATATGTGTTGATACTATCAGTGTTACTAGATTATGCACGGAGGAAAAAGGAGACTTAATATTTAAGAGAAATTTTGTACGAATTTCACTTAATGATGACTTGCAGCAATAACTCCTGTTATCGATAAAAATATATAACAAAAATTAATATTTAATACGCCCAATGGCGTAATCTCATTCTTTACAAACATGACATTAATTATTTCTTTTTATAAGAATGGATTATATTTATTTTATTTACTTAATTCAATTTAATATTTAAATTAAAATGAATTAAAAGTACTTAAAGCTAATGAGTTTAATTGATATCATTTTAGACTGGTGTCACACCGGTGCAAAAAGCTGCTTCGGAAGGTCACTTGGAAGTAGTTGAACTGTTATTGAAGCACAATGCAAACGTCGCACGCCAGGACACAGTGGTAAGTAAACATTAATTACTATTTTAATTAACAACGTCATCATCTCTTACCAATTAACATTATGCAACATTGTACTAACGTTCAACCAATATTTTGAATATCCTTTTTTTCAATGAAGGTGAACATAAGAATACAGTTTATAGTCGTACAAATTCAAGTGGTTTGAAAATAAATTTATTATTACAAACAGTCAAACTGAATGAATTTCTGGAAGTACATTCCGCGTTACATATACGGTAATAACAAAGCAATACAATTTATAAGAATTATTGTCTTGAATTCTTGAATTTTGCTTGGAAATATAGTACTTTTAACACTAGAACTACCGAGCATTTAATATGAATGATGTGTAATCCCTATGAAAATTGTAACAATAGATTATTTTCAGTTTCTTCAGACATTCATTATAGTATTCAAGTGAAACTACCCATTTTCAAGATCGTTTCAAATATTCAATGCTTTCAGGAGATCAATAACTATGAAACAGAAAAATCGAAACCAGTCAGTCATTTTGACCGGTAGTACTAGTGTTAAATTGAATTCTGATTATAATCACATTCAGAAAAGAAAAGGAAAGGAGTTCCGTGTTTCCAGCATAAGATAACGATCATCTTGATCGTAATCAAGATTCAAAGTACAAAACAAAAGAAGAGCTTCGTATTTCCAATATAAAAGCAATGACACACGAATAGCCCAATATTCTGCAGCGCAGTCCGCATCAGAATAACAAGGAACATCTAAATTCCATGGACTTCTTGAAACATATTTACAAACGTCGCATAAATCACAATGATTTGAATTTCGATTTTTGTCCCCGAACCTACGGCACATTGCGTCGTGGAGGCATAACTCGCACACCAGAAACGCATAAACTCGTTTTTCTTCGTGACCGTTCGAGCAACTTCACGCGGGGAATATACTTATGTACATTGATACGCGTATCTTCGTAATAAGAGCCCACGGCGGGCAGCACGCGGTTCATGGAAAGAGAAAAAGAGAAGAAAAGAAGGAAAGAGAGAGAGTGAGAGAGTGAGAGAGAGAGGTGAGGTGGGAAAGAGAGACAGAGAGAGTGAGGCCGCAGAGGAGAAATCGCTACCAGGAATGAGCGAAGACGATGGCAATAATTTCACGTTCTTTTATAAGGAACAATTTACGAGAATTTTTGCGCGGTCGCATTGGCACCGGTCTTTTATCACTTTCTCGATGCTGATCCCTCGGGGCTCGGATTTTATTCGCTTCGCGCCGGCGCTACACAACGTGTCTGCCCGTCTGCGTAGTGGTTAACGAGAACACGACACACTCCACATAAATCTGAGAAGTGGAAACGTTCGCATGATAGACGCAGTTATTGGCAGGCGATAAAACTAACTGGAAATCGATAGAACCAAAATAAATTACGAAATAGGAGAATTTTACGCGCACCTCTAATAGAAAATTCAATTGATCCGAGCTAGTTAACAGTGAACAAACCAACATTAACGCGTGTTCGATCGAGCGAACGTAATTTTGGAAATTGTTCGCGTGTTGAATGTAAAATTGATAATAGAAACGGAATAGATACTTCTTGTATAGCAGAAGGGAATTTATAAATTCGTAAAATAAAAGAGCAACTTTTAGTACATAGGGCGAATGATGTCTACTTTTATTAGTGGATTCAGTTGTTGTCATTCAAGATTTATTTAAAAGAACTTTAAATCCATATAACGATTTATAATACAACTTCGACAACACTTTTTCGTAATTTTCGCTTTCGAATGGAATTTTGTAGGATTTATTTGGATTCAGGTGTCTTCGAATCGGTTGAATAGGCAAGACAGGCGAGAAATTCATTACATATCTCGACAACGCACAAGTCATTCATCGGTTATCATGACATTAATAGACAATAATAAATCGAGATTCCACTTGTAACGTCGAGCTCGACATGCACGTTATGCAAATTTCGATACATAAATAATCAACTAAATATCGTAGAACAAGTTACAGCTATCTGATTATATAGTCGGATTGTACATGTTCACGTAAGTCGCCATTTTAATCGACCGTTTTACAAAATTCATAACTTAGTTCGCTAATGATGAGATTTATTAAATTAAACATAAAATAACAACTCTATTAACGATGTTCGTGGCAGTCACTGTAAAATCTATTCAAACGAGCGTATCGAGTTTTGCCTTTTCCATTGTCTAAATCTTTTTTTAATAGACCCTCTTTTTATCTGTAACATATATTACTTCTTCAGAAAACAATGATTCAGAAATGATATTTTTGAAACTTTTGCAGCAATTAATCCTCTTAGCGAACAAACTTAATTTTACTCATTTAATTAGATAAAAATACAACTTTTACTCGATTATGAGTTACCATCTTCAATTTTTATCACGATTCATCAGAATCATTCCAACTTCAATCGTAAATTAATCGTAATTAAAGATCATAAACGGTCCTGATATATTATCGAATCAACCATCAGATTTGAATCATGGTCATTAATATATTAAGTCATTTCATAATTAATGTCGTTTCTTATGCAAACTTCTAGTACCAAAACTGAATAGGTATAGTGCAGCTCTGATAAGATGGCAGATTACTCTCGAGCGGAAAAGTCGAAACGGCAAGACGATTCTTCCGCTCACGATGTTCGGGCCGCCTCGGTTCTCGACGCACAGCCGCCATTGGTACGCGATAATAACACAAGATGAAAGTGAAACGACATGCGACGGAGTGCCATGTAACGATAGGGAACGAAATTGGCGGCAATTTAAAGGGTGGCGCATAATTATCTTTTTACGATTTATTTTATGAAAACGTAATTGTTGCACTTATACACGCCCAAAGTACATTTCTACTTCAGGAATAAACAAATAGGTTTCAGAAAGTTATTAAACAGGTGGGAACAAGAATTTATTAAGACAATTTCTTTTTCGTCATCCTCTTCATTGCAAAGAAATGCAGAAGGTTAAAAAGGAGGTACAGTTAGTGTTAGCCAATGATTGCTGAACAAAACGCAATTGCCAGTACCGCACTCCGGTATAGTCCGACGAAGAAAAGACTTCGCTTGTCCTAGAAGCTAAAAAGTCGGGGAAGCAAGGAAATTGGAAGGGACACCGAATGCGACGAAATGAGATATAACGATAGGAAACCGAATCTATAGTGTCGCCAACTTCATATTCTACCGTTGCACACGTCATCGCATCCGGTGCCCCTTCCAGTTTCCTTACCTGCCTGACTATTTTAGCTTTCAGGACAAACGAAATCTTTCTTTGGTCGGACTGTAACATCTGTCATTCGGCGGGCGATTCGTCCATAAACTGCAATCACGCTCGTATTTCGAATGCAGCGCGATAATTATTAAAGAACAGACACCGGGGTCTGGTCGCGCGATCGGTGGCCAGCTGTGCATGCGTCTCGTTAATATCATATGCAAATGGAATGCAAAGTCTTTCACCGGGTTGTGCTCGTATCGAATAAACGTTACACGAGAAGTACGGAACACATAGTTGCTCTTTCATCGGCGATTATCTTGTCCGTGGACGATGCAGTCGCGATCCAGAGGTCAGGACGTACATCTCGATCGGTATCCGCGCTGTCATTATGTCGTAAAATATTTAATGACCGTCGTTACCGATATTGTATCACGTTTACCCGGGGACCGCGTTAAAGAACACATCCGGCGGAGACTGTCGTCCCGATCGGCAATTTCACGAACGGACACACATATATACGCGAAATAAACGACACGAAAATCACGGTAGGCGTGTACGCGTTACGTCTTAATGAGGGCTCGGCCGATTGATCTCGAAATCCGCCGCGATCACCAGCGATCGGCCGCGGACCGCGGCTGATGTTTTCTTAAATGGTATTTATAATGTCGGTGGAATACGTTACACGGGACAGCCAAGCTTTTTGGAAAGGAAAAAAGAATGTAATTCGATGTAACCGCTTCGCGTGAAACGATTCAAAGGGGGGGACGAGAAAATGACGCGGGATTGAAATAGAATATAAAACGTGTCAGACATTGTGGATGGATAAATATTGACCAGATGTAAGGTCCTGTCGTGTTTCTTTGTTTTCTCTTTTCGACGAAATTTAATGGCAATTTGGACTTTATGCTGGTGATTTAAATTTGTTAATCGAGGAGAGTAATGGAATAGTGATAATGGTTGTTGTTGAAATTTAATCAGACGGGTATACTAGTCTTGATATGTAGTTTGAGTTTTATTCGTCTTTATGGTGTATACATTTATCTTACAATTATGGTACCTGTTGTTGTAGGGTTAATATGTTAGTGTAACACTGGAATAGCATGAAAGTTTATCTTTGCAGTGTGTATATTATTTAGTTAATAATCGAAGCTAATGTTTATGTTTTCGTGGAGGTACTTATGTGTAGTGTGTGAGCGAGTTAATAGAAGAAACTATAGTTGATTCGGGCAACTGTTATTATAAATAATTAATAGTTAAAGCTAAATATTACTGCTTTTAACTGGAACTTCCGTCCATTATTTAACTAAAGCGTTAATGTTTCGATTCAGTGCCGAATATAGACTGACAAAAAAATATTATTCGTACATTTTCTAGAGATTTTTCTCGCGATTAATTCTTCGAATACCCAACCGTCGAATATTTCGCGTGAAAGGTGCCTCGGTTGAAGATTGTTTTGAAATCGATTAATCCACGCCGTGCGTAGAATGGATCGTCAATTGATTATTACCGCGCCTATAATGATAGCCTGTATAAGTTGAAACGTTTAATGAGCAACGTAAGACACGTAGTTACGTTGAGAGGAGCGGCCAGCGGAGGGATGTAATGCGTGGTACTGATCGGCTGAAAATATTTATCTCCTGTCCCCTGCCTCCAGTTTTACGGAATTCTTTGAATACGCGTGTAAGATGGATCGGTTATTTCAGGGAACATTTGCCGCGAGAAAGTGGGATATTTATTATTTTCCGCGTGGAACCGTGAACGATGAAGCCTTCGGATGGCTTATAGGAGTTGCGC